ACTTCTTGAGCACGGAGTGATGACAGACGCTGAGATGCAGTCGGCCAGAACAAAAGATAGAGCAGATAAAGCACGAGGCGTGATGGACACGGTGGGAAGAAAGGGGTCCGAAGCCTGCTCGGTGCTGATGGCTGCTCTCCGTGAGATGGACCCGTATCTTCACACAACGCTCAACTTCAGCTGAAGCTGAACCAAGAACTGTGCAGTGATGATGATGATGATGTCTTCAAAAGTTGTCCCACATGACCTTTGCACGTGTGGCTCCGGCTGCTTCGTCCAAATGGGCACAGAGGCGATTCTTCTTTGTGGCTGCGTCCTTAACCTGCCGCCTGCAGCTCCGGCCGTTTGAACCGTTGCTGCGACCAGTCGGATCACAGCCACGGGGGGGGATCTGCATGTGCCTCCTTGCCAGCAAGTTTCTGGAGGTCCATATTGCGTCTGTAATGGCGGCTAGGGTGAGCCACTGTTTGGCGAAGTCACTTGCTGTAATGTGTGTGTTCTGGCTCACCCCATACAGCACTCGCTGTGCTGTCAGGATCTCCCTTTCTGGCAAGTACGGGAATTTCAAGGAGCCGGCCATGAGGTGAGGCACCTGCTCCCAGAGCAGGTGCCTCACTGACTCAGGCGCGCCACAACCTGGTCGGGGGCAGGTAGAGTGCGCCGGCATGCCCCGGAAGTGCATTAAGGACCTTACTGGGAGGATCTCATGAGCGGGATGGTTCACGTTGCGCCAAAATGTTGAGGGCTCGCCAGATGCGAGCCCACGCACTGGACTCACTGGTTCCCGCTCCTGCACAACAGAAATCAGACAGCGTGGTTAGTTAATGTTTTTAAATCCTCCTGCTCAAGTTTAAAATTCCATAAAAATGTCTGGATAAAAGCATAGGCTGGTGGCAGTTAAGATCTTTGGGTAAAAGCTTCAATGTTCTGAGGTAAGACCCCACCCAGAACCGTGTCATTGCTGCAGTCTTTGGGTTTCTGGATGGGGCTGTTACGGCTGTAAGGTGTAGCGGGGTATCCGCTTCCTAAAAACAGGTGCAGGTCCGGCACTCCTTTTTGCTTTGTTTTTTTCATTACGCTTCTCCTCAGTCGTTCCCACAGGAAATAAAAAATGGCTCGTTCCAACTCTAAAAGCACTTTCCTAGGCGGGATAAAAACAGAACTGATAACTAAAAGCAAAGGTAAAATCACAGCTTTGATGATTAAAGCCTTTCCTTCTAATGTCAGTCCTCTACGTGTCCAGTAACCTAGTCTCTTCCCTACCACGTCTGGCCAATTTGTTTTCCCTCCCCCTTCACCATCAAATTTAATCCCAAGTATTCTTTGATCAGTCTGGGTCACAGTCAGGGGGAGTTCTGTCGTTTCAGTTGCCTTCCATGGTCCATAAAATGAGCTTGGGTCTTGCTTCTGTTGAGCTTTGACCCAGAGGCCCGTCCGTACCAGTCAGTCAAGTCCAGCGTCCTGTTGACAGATAAAGGTCAGTGCATAAAATGTTTATGTCATCCATATGTAAAACACATTTGGTTTTGAGTCCTCCACTCCCTGGGACTGTCATCAACATATTGTAATATGGCAGAATCATTTGGTAAGATTGGCCAGATTGTCTCTCAAGGCGCTGTGAAATACGGCAGGGCTTTCTGAATATCTTTGGTGACACCAGGTCCAGGTATAGTGTCTTCCTTTAAATGAGAAGGCAAAACAGAATTGACTATGCACAGGTACGGAACGAAAATGCATTTGCCAATGGAGAACAATACCCTTATTATGATGTGGGCAGGGGTAAGGGAATGGGTGTTGTTTTGGATTTGGAACAGGGCACGTCAACTCAGGCTTACCGTGAGCGTTTTGACTGGGACAACTGGGTCTTCAGCTGCTGTCGACAAGAGTGCTGTACTTACTTTGGTTTCTCTTAATAATGCACAAGTCTTTCGCCTTTTACTAAAGACTTCCTTGGAGAGGAACACCAATGAGCTGAAACAATTTTTGGCAGGCTTTGCCATTTGGCTGAGTCTTGTGCATTTGTGAAAAGAAAGCTGTCCTTAACGAAACCAAGGTGCTGACCATGGAGGGTTTGGACGGGTGTGCTAAGCAGCAGCCACTGCTATGCCCAACTGAGAACCTACTGGTGGCCTTGACGGAGCCATGGAGCCGAGTAAAGGATCCAAACATGGACGGAATGGCTAAGCGAGGCCAGTACAGGTGGGCTCCGGTGCTGGCACTTCGGGGAGTGAAGTGAAGGCAGCTCCCCGGGTGGAGGAGTAACCCAGGCACCCATGGGGGATGGCTTTACTGCCCTCACTCCCAATCCTGCTCCCTCCACGTCGAAGCAAGGGGCCCGGAGAGGCTCGCAGGTTTTCGGAATGGGACTGCTGACGGAGCATGGAGATTGCCAAGGAGCGGACAACATTTTTTTGTTTAAAGTATTGTAAAAGGAAGGCGAGTATGGTGAAGAGGGAGGTGTTTCTAAGACAGTGATCACTTCCTGTTGGTGTTGAAACTCTTGCCCGTCTGTGGCATAGTTTGACACCGTTAGGAAGGACATTCACTCTACGTCTCGTCTTGTGAAATACAGTTCAGCCTCTATTGGTTGCAATTTATTTACACAGGAATACATGGCCACACAGAGAGCTTCTTACCTGCACTCTTCCGGATCACCATCTCGTCCACGCCAAAAGAGGAAAAGGTAATCGCACTTTTAATTATTTTCTTACTTCATCAGATTTTATACAGGTACTGTTTTTAGTTCATTTTAGGTGTTTTATCTTTTTACCCCTTAGCTACGTGGTGCCTCCACCATGTCTGCCAACCATGCCGGCACGCGGAGGCACCACAGCGTCTGAGTAACTTTCAAAGAAGTAGATGGTAAACTGCTGGGGATGTCTAGACTACACTTCTCCAGGAAGTTAATCCAAAAAGCCCTGAACTTTAAGCCAGAAGACCTGAACTGCATTTTGACCCTACCATCCAACAAAGGATTTGATGTAAGCTTTCGGTCTGCCATAGCACTGAAAATAGTTGCGAAACCCCAGTTTTCTGCCTTTAATGTTGAGAAACTGACTGATAATGCATTTAAAACATTGTCAGAATGTTCAATGAGACAGTGAATGCAGATGACATTTGTTTGTGGCTGGGTAGATACTGCACTGTGAAGGCCAGGCTACCATTTAAAGGCTTTATCATGTGTGTGCCTTGCTATTTCTGTTGTGACTTAAGCTAAGTGTACCAAGTATAACCTCTATTGGTCTCAATGAATGGATTATGCGTTACACATAGACGGTCTTACTGAGCATACAGTGTAGCAAAATACCCGACTGAAAGGGAAGCCATCTTTGTTAAGCAGCATAGCTGGCATCAAGCCAACAGCTTCCACTGTTGTCACATCTCTTCTGAGGCATCAGCCTGCTGCGGCTGCTCCTCTTTCTTAAACATGTTTGATCAGGATCAGTTGTTGAATTAATCCACATTGACTTCATATTAGCCTGCTAAAAGATGCACATTTTTACCAAGTTAGGTCTGCTGACTGTAAAGTATTTATCAATCTTGCATCATTTAGTCACTTTGTACTGTGCTGTACTCTCCTTCAGGAAATCCCAACATGGCACCAACACTTAGCTAAACACCGGCTTTTACCAGTCAATGAATGACTTTTATCCTGTTTTTTAAGTTTTTCATTTTTACGATTGTGGTTATATACTCTGACTGCACACAGAAGGCCCAAGTTGTAATTGTACTACGTAATAATACTTTCTCATTTTACATCAAAGTATGACAAAATTCAATGTTAAGCCTAAATGTCTCATTTTCGGTGATTTTAACATACATCTCTGCTGCCCTTCCCAGACTTCAGATCATTTCCCATATGAAATCAACCATGCAGCCTTTATTATATACTAAATACATCTCCTAAAGAAGTTGACTCATTTGGGCCCAGTATGTTATAGATTTTTAATAGCTCATAAGCAATAAGAACTATTTCATCCACTCTAAACACGCCGTAGTCCAACCTCTTATAAAGAAACATAATCTTGATCCTGTTCTTCACAATGAGCTTTTCTAAACTATCACAAGTTCTAGGGAAAGTAGTTTCAACCCAACTTTAAAGTTTGATGCGTCTTAATAACGTCTACGAGAGCTTTAAGAGCTTTACAGAGCACACAAACTGTCTCCTGAAGCTAACAAACTCTCTCCTAGCAGCTGGCGGGCTTTTTCAATTCTTTTAGACCTAGATGTCACTTTCGACACATGTGTAACATTGTTAGAGGATAGCCAATTACATTACCTGACAAAATGAGGTCTACATGAAGTGTCTTGAGTGTGCCGGTCCCCCCTCTCTTAAGATAGAAAGGCTGGCATCCCACCCTGATTGGCCAAGAGGGGAAATGCAACAAGCTGCTCTCAATTGTTAATTAGGACCCGACCCCACCGTACCAACAATTGAGGGACATCTGAGGGAGCGCACATGTTGAAACAAGACTTGTTTTGAAAGCTGATCTTTGTGTTTTCTGATTTCAGGGTTTTCAATGATTTGTGTTTGAAATATTAAATGGACTTGTATTGCGCCTTTCTGCTCTTCAACCATGCAAAGCTCTTGCCACACGTCAGCAGTCACGCATTTGATAGTCTCAACAATATATTATGTTATTTTTGATTTTGTGTCATTATTTTGTATATTGTACATATCAATTTTGTAAACCAAAGACATCAGGGGCCTGTTCAACATACCCAGTGTATCAGTTTATCTGGTTTAACTAACCAGAACTACCGCCGTCCCAAAAAGCTGGTTATTAATAACTCGATAAGTCAGCCCAGGGTTTCTGACATGAAGGGGCGGGGCTTGCAGCATATAACCAATCACAAACATGGACAAGTCTGCTGTCAGCACAGCGACGCATTTTAAAAACCAAGAAAAAACTATTTCTGACAAATAGGAAGAAGTTAAACACAAAATCCAGCCTGTAATTACAGTTTACACTGACAAATGCAGGAAATCACCGACTGTGTAAATGAATCGATTTATAATATCACTGCTTCATCTACAGCACAAATATGTCATCAGTGAGGAAGTGCAGTTCTCTCTCTCACACATACACACACACCTGAAATGAAAGTCAGCAGACCTTAATACAACAGAGAAAGCATTCATTTGTCTACGCATGTCTCCGACTACAACCTCAAACATGACGGTGCATCAGCACTTTCATCTGATAAAACAAAACAGTCATTAAAAACATTTTCACCCTAATGATGCATTTATCAATATTAAAAACAAATTCAGAACAGTATGATCATTACAAGAGCACAGCTTGAAACGTGTTTGTATAAGCATTTAAAAAGAACCACTGAATGGAGTACTGGTGTAACGCCACGTGTCCGGTAGGGTCATCTCTTAAAGGTACAGTGGAACAGGTTTTTAGCCTTGTTGCCACCACAGCAGCAGTGCAGCGCGCTTACGTTGTTAGAGAACACTTCGCTCCATCAGTTCTTCCACATGTAGCTGTAGTTGCTCATGTTGATGTGAGTCAGAGCAGTCTTGCCCAGGCTGGAGGGCTGCTGGAGCTGCTGGAGGGAAGCAGGATAGAGACCACAAGCAGACAGGTCCACCGACCCACCAGGACACTGCAGACACACAGAGACAGCTGGACTAAGAAAGACACCCGGCATTCTTTAATCCGACGCTGATGCCGCTTTCTGTGGCGGGACAGCTTGGACGAATCAATGGAACCTCAATGGAACCTCTGCACATTAGCTGTTAGCTCTGTTATTTAGTCAGGCAGGACTGTGCTGCCCACCGGCTGCCAACAGCTAACGCTAACTAGCTCTTTTCTGTAGTGCATGAAGTTATTAATAAAGTTTGATCTGTTCATTGAAGTACATGGCTGTCTTACCTGTTGCTTGGTGGTGTGTGTGTTCATGACAGCGGTAGGTGTGTGACTGTAAAGAGCAGCTGAGAAGTTCCCTTTCTGTGCGGACCGAAGGAGGGTTGTGACGGTGTGGAGGGAGGAGGGGAGGATAGGTCCTAAAGGAAGGAGGGGAAAACTAGTTCAACGTTACATCGAACAATGCCTCCACAGATTCTACACTCCAACGCCCTCAAATAGCAGAACGGATCACGAGCCGAGGTACCTGTGATCTCCAGACTGCTGATGTTCTGGTAGGTCGAACCAACCTGGCTCTTCACATTCACACTGCGGGCCTGAAAAACACAGACAGATGCAGACATAGCAACAGCAGTGTGTATACTGTGTGTGTGTATTCACACCTTCAGTGTGTGCATCGTGTGTGTGTGTGTGTGTGTGTGTGTTCACACCTTCAGTGTGTGCATCGTAGCTCCCCTGAAGGCGCTGGGAGCCAGGAGTGTTGGGGGTAACCCGGCCTGGGAGCCCGCTGCAGCCACCAGACCCTTAGAGCTGATGAGGAAGTTGATGAGGGTGAAGGTGTGCGGTCCCTCCACACACACCACAGACTCCGGCTTGTGGTCCAGAGACACAGTGGGACCTTCCTTACGACTACACCAGTGGTCAAGGAGCTCTGACTGGTTGTGACATGGCATCGGACACATAGTGTTTGTGAACCTGAGCAAAGCTTGTTTAGTTAAGTGGTGTGAAACACAAATAGGACAGCTGACGGTCGGTGTCAGAGAAGCAGGAGGATACAGTTGCATGGTGATGCTGTCTGGCTTCTTGATTTTGTCCTGGACACCCATCTCCTTCAGCCAGGAGAAGCTGCCGTCTTCATCATCAGTCTCTCCTTCGTCACCTGCCGGACTCTCCTCGCCCTCTTTCAGCTCAGGACACCTACAATTCAAGTTATTATCCACAATGTCAGCAAAATCATCCGTTCAATGAATTAGGTTTGACCCATGGCATATGTTCTTCTTCATCCCATACAGTCAGTGTAATCCTCCTGAGACATGATTTTCACACACACATCCATACAATCACAGAGGAGACGGCACACTTACTCCTGCTCTTCCTCCTCTCCCTGCTGCATGCTCAGGTTCTGTTGCTCCCTGCTCTTCCTCCTCTCCTCCACTAGAGGGAGACTGAACTCTATACCTAAACAGGGACACAAGATGAATGAGCTCCCAATGAAATGCATTCATGATACAGTCTAACTGAATTATCTGATGATAGGAAGTTGAAAGTGTAGGATTTAGTGACTCGTAGCTGTGAGGACTCACCATCAGCCTTCATGGCCTCTCTGAGGCCCCTGGTCGTAGGAGAGATGAAGGCCGTGATGCTGCTAGAGCCCCCGAGACCGGCTGCCCTGAACAACACTGTGAACTGACAGAAGAGAACCGATCACATGAAGGGAACTGACTGCAGTGTGCTGCTGTGAAGGTGTCTATTAGGACAGCCCCCAGTGGTGGTATCAAAGAAAGACACCATGCATTCGGCTCCCTCCTGAGGAACCTAATTAGATCCAAAAACAACCAAAACCTGAACGCCACCAACACCTACCTGATGGGAGCAGAGATAGAAGTAAGGACACAGTCGGGCCTTCAATAGACTGTAGAGAGACGACAGACTGACTGACCTGAAGACCACAATCAGAGAAACAAGGCTGACATTGAATTGGATGTTTTTGTGCATGTTTAGTCCCAATTAGAGACAAAAACATGGGAAAATAGAGTCCTCAATAGAGTGGCTTAATCTACTCTGTCCAGCCTCACCATTCACTCATGAGGCTCTGCTGCAGGGCTCGGTCTTGTGCCCAGGGGGTGCTTCTCCCAGTGAAGCTCCTCTCAGCGTTGATCCTGGGGAACAGAGGGATCCAGGGCAGGGAGGGGTGCTGCCAGTACACCAGACTCTGCTGGAAGGCCACCCGCAGCTCAGAGCAGGAACTGGGATCCTGCAGGGACATGGGGAGGCTCAAAACACTTCTTTCTATGTACATTTGACTCAAACTGTCTGTCTGAATATACCTGTATTCACCCTTCGTTTTAGTGCATTTCAGTGTAGCATTGCTACTTAATAGTTCTATACTACTTAACAACAGATGATTGTTTATTAGTTGGTTTAAATTCAGTATTAAAAATATGAAACTGTAAAGCAGCTGCTGTCCTGTCATGTGTAATAATCTACCTGTAGACTGTGAGGCAGAGTGCTGAACTGAGCTCTGCAGTGATGACTGAGCCCTGAAGCCTCCTCCTGGGCTTTGGGGTGCTCGGCCCATGACAGGGTGAGCGGGGAGGTGAAGAGGAGGCGGGTCTTCAGGCTCCAGTCCGCTGGGTACTCTGTGCAGATGGGAGGAGCTATGGAGGCCGGAGCAATGGCCTGGGGACTCTGGGAGGAGGCGAGAGGGAGGGGACATGTTGAACACTAGTGGCTGTGTACACAAGGACATGATGACGACAACAACAACAACAACAACAACAACAACAACAACAACAACAAACCTTCAGCAGTGGACTTTTAACATCTTCCTCCTCTTCTTCAAACAGAGAGTCATCTTCAGAGAAAGTGAGACACTCCTGCAGGAGAGGACAGATAAATATTAATATATTATAGTAATATTAAAATGACACATCTGTCTAACTTGCCACGTGAACTATAGGGACATGGGACCACGGTCTGGTCCCGACTCACTACGTACCGTTAATTCACTGTGTGTATTTAGTTGTAAAGTCGTAGTATTTATTTATTATAAACCAACCTTGCTGGACATATCTTGGTGTTCCTGTTCCTCTGCCAGCCTCGCACTGAAAGGCAGACCTCCATGACAGTACGTCTTTGTTGACATGACCTCCTCGTCTCCCTCCTCTCCTGTCCATGTCCTCATCTTGTCCGCAGCTTCGGCATTCCTGTCGTCGTTATAAATGAGACATTTCTTTTTGGGGCTGAAAGTGTTCTCGATATTTGCGAACGGGTTTCTGCGCTTCATCCCACCTCCGGAGCGGTTCTGGTTGTTGAAAAGCGGCCCCGGGGAGAAAGGCCGAACGCATGCCCGCAGTGAGTCGCTTTGTCCGGGGCTGCCCGTGGAGCCCCGTCCGCTTGGGCTCGAGAAGACACTGGCCTCGCTACGAGTTCGCTTCCTCCTCATTCGCATGATTTCAGCCGGTCGCTTGAAACTGGGCGAATAGCCTTCCTGTTGAGACATCCTCAGTAGGATAGGTTTCTCAAAAACAGCCGAACGACAAAACGTTTAGAAGACCGGAACCGCAGCTGTTTTCTTGTCGCGTCTTCCGTACAGTACAAATTTGGCGCGTAGCGTGCTGACGTAAAGTCTCCCTCGCGTGGTGCGTTTGCTTGAATAAATAAAAACGGAAAACGGTACACCGCTTTTAGGAGGAAAATCTAATACTTTCCAAATGAAAAATACGACATTTGCAGTTTTCACCACGCAAGTGACTTGATTAAAAAATACCATGACAAAAAATCACATTGTTGTTGAATTGTAATTGAAAATGCAAATGAATCGTGTGTCTGGTTTACTATAAAACAATATGTTGTTAGTGTTAAGAATTACTATGAAAAGCTAAGTAACGTTTTCTCAAGTATCTCTTAATCACTTGTAATTAATTAATTATTTCAATTATTCATTCATATTTAATCCTAAAAATCAATGAACATAAATATGCATTAACAGCAAAGCTTCTCTTAAAACTTCTCTAAACATAATATTATGTATGCTATTTATATCTAACAATTATTACTGTAGGTAATTTCACTTTTCTATTGACATCTATGTTATTTTACACCTAAATGGAAAAACACAACTTACATGCAAAAACTGTCATATTATTGCAGTGGATTATTTGAATGTTTTTTCTAACAATAACAAGTTTGTGATATTGTGTGCCACACTTTGGATGTACTAAACCACTGCACCACTGGTTTGGTATTACATCTCAAATATAAATATATAAATACCCCCCCCCCCCCCACCCACTCTCATTTCCATCATCACCATTTTAATCACTGTCACAGTGATTAATAGGACATTATGTAAATGTTGTGTCCCTTGTTAATTTGTCCCTCGTTTGTCATTACTGCGGGTCATCAATCACATCTGAAGCTCAGTCAGGCGTCAAATGATGGCTGCTGTTAGAAATCAATTATTGTATCTGTTGGTAAGGTAGAGGAGAGAAAACTAGTGCTTTAAGCTTCAAAACGCTGAGTCAGTTTTGAATTGATAGTGATTTTTGTTCAGGGCTTCTGAAAATGTTGTCAAGTCCTCGAACCCCAATTGGGCATGCATGAACCCCCATATGATAAGATTTAGTCCATTATGCATTAGTTGTTGGTATTCTATATCTGTTGTCACAGTGGGAATAATGATTCTGCTGGAAACTTGTCAAAAGTAGAAACCTGGAACCTATCAAGGACCCTTGAAACCCTCTCAGGCATCTATTGAACCCCAGCGACCCCTACCACCTCATGTGCCCCTGAACAGTAACACCACCTACAACTTCCATTGTCCCGACGACTGTGGGACCCCTTGAAGAAAAGAAGTGTAGAACGTGAACCTCTTTTGGGACCACATACACTGTGGAAGCAGACTGCATTTAGACCACTAGATGTCAGCGGTCCATCAGGCTGAATGACTCTCTGGTTCAAGTGAACTGTACCGCAAAGCAGTTCACAGAGACCTGGAACTGCCTTGAATTAGAAGATCTATCATGGTGAACATTAAGTCTGCTTGTATTTTTCAAAATAAGAGCCACATAGAGTAACTCTATCCTAATAGGAAGCTATGGTTGTGTTTCAAACCAACTCTGACTGTATGTTAACAGACCTTTATCTTAACAAGCAGGGCGAGGCTGTATTTATTTTATTTATTTTTAATAACAGCCCCATAGAGTCACTGATCCTATGAGGAAGCTGGATGTGAATTTTGTCTTTATGAATCTCAAATACAGTACTTTTATCATTTTTTACTTATTTATACACATACATTTTTTCACGACTTGTATACATAACAGTCCTGTCTACTCATTACCTTCGTCTGTGCAGCTTTGTTGTCTTTGTTTCTAGCTGTTATTTCTGTGCAAATACATTGAGAGAGATGAAAACAAATGGAGTCAAATTCCTTGTATGTGTATGCATACTTGGCCAATAAAGCTGATTGTGATTGAGCAGTGTGGCGTCGTTGTTGGCTCCCAGCGGGGCAGCGAGGCACAGCTCTGCTCCTGGCCGGAGGAGGAGCCACTGCTGCCGGGCTACGAGCTCTCCACCTCCCACCGGAGCTCTGCAGGTCAAAGGCCCCCCTGCAGTCTGAGCTGTGTGATTTCATCTGATTTCACCAGAATCTTACGCGGTTGCATCGATAACACAGATGACAAGCGACTCTACGATAGTAGCAATCTTCTTGCTGATGGTCTTGTTTAATTAGCGGTAAAAGCTTCTCACATTAACTTTAACTATCTGAAACGGACAACCTTCTCTCCCACGTCTCGCAGTAATTGGCCAGCTGTGAGGAGGTGTGAAAGTAGGCGGTGTTTGAACGTCTCTCTCAAGCACCAAGAATGTCTTCGAAGAGAGACTGTAATTTCCATTTGCACAATTCTTTGAGTATCACTCCGCTCTGTGATGGCAGGCTGTTCTCCAATGAAGTCCAGCCCATCAGAAAACCTATAAACACTTTTGCCTTTGGATGTGTTTGGAGCATACTGGAGTTCACTTCCAGATGCTGAGCAGTTGTGAAAATCAACCTGGGCTTTTCTCACTTTCCTTGCTGACAAGGCTGCCTGAAGTAGTGAAGCCGTCCACAGGGTCAAAACACGTTCATCACAACTGCTGCCGGTGGAGCTTGTCACCTGAGTTTGTGAGGTATTACCAAGTTCACACTGGTAATTGAACTTGTACAGCCATTAGCTTTTCTTCTGACCACTCAAAGCACTTTCACACTACATGTCATTCACCCATTCATACCCATTCACACCCATTCATACACTGATGACAGGAGCTACTATGCAAGGTGCCATCAGGACTATCTAACATTCACACCCATTCATACACCGTGAGCAGCTACGTGAGCAATTTGGAATTAAGTGTCTTACCCAAGTACACATCGACATGGACTAGCGGAGCCGGGGATCGAACCGCCGAATGTCTTAAGAATGTCTGATTGAAGGACAACGCTCTACCACTTTGTCCTTCTCCTGCAGTACATCATCTCTTCATACTGTGTATTCACTGCCTGGCTGCACTTCACCCTTATTTGGCAACTTCTGTGTGTATGTGTCTAAACAGACAAGCTAGGGCTTGTCTGTTTGCCTGTTGAAATTCCTACAGGTTCAGGAATAGCAAAGGATAAATGTTTGTGTCTGAGGGTGTGGGTGTGTGCGGTGTTTGGGAATAGTTTGTCATAGATACAGGTGGCAACTTGCAGGAGTGAATTCTATAGAAAGAGAAAGATCATCGATAAAACACATCAGACGACCAGTAACACAGGACAAGAGTTGTATTTTCATTGCAAGAATGTTTATGTAACTCAAAACCAAATGTGCACCATCAACGATGCCAAAACAAAATTATGTGTGTGTGAGAGAGACAAAGAGAGAGAGGAAGGGGTGATGAAAACATGATCAACTGCAGGTGTCATTTACAGCCCTGATTATATACAGTACACATCAACAGTGGATCATGGGTAAATGTGACATACACACACACACACACACACACACACACACATGAAATGCTACTAAAATGGTATTGCAAAAATAAATTAAAGCATTTGACTAAACTCCATGCTGTAATGGTTTCTCACTAGAAATCTGATCTGATCTCAGAATCCAGTCTGGTGAGGGCCGTCTGTAATGAATATGTAATCGACGGACTGGCTCAACCAATGTAAAGTTAAGATTCGTCAATCATGTCATAGGTTTTGTCCACATTTGCCTCAGGGGCCATAAAACACCCACAGTCAGTGACGTGATCGTGTTTCTTTCATTTCTTCAGGAGATGATAGGCTCCGTTTTTCTGTAAAAAATGTCAACCAAGAAGCAGAGAGGAGTGGTGAAGTCATGGGGTAGAGAGAGTGATGGAAAGATGAAGGTAAACACAAACAGGCATGAGCAAAATGATCAATACACAACACCAACAACATTTATGAGGATGAAGTCTTGTTATTTTACAAAGGAAGCTGAGATCAGTCCAGTGCTGCTGCATGCACTTTGACCCTGCTTCTCTCTGTGTATCTGTCCCTATTACATCTTCTCTCCTGTTCTTTTCTATGTCCTGACAGTGACACCGGGATGTTGGGTTCATATGACCAAACAAGCCCACTCACTGCTGTCATTCTGCTTGTTTTGTCAGTAGTTTTACACTGGCTCCTGGTCAAGTGATGACGCTCAGTACTGGGTGCTGTTTTTCCAAATATGACATGTGCTCAGGTGACATTTAACATTTATCAAACACCTGCTATCTCCTCTTCCTCTGAGCCATAGAGCTCCATTAAAACACTCACTGTTGCTCTGGCTGACACGTTTCTTCATCACCATGAACACACTGTAGTTTCTCTTCACTTGGTCCCAGATACACGTCCTGCTGCCACAAAATATCACTCGGGCACCAAATGTGGATTAATCTGCAGCTGAAAATAGTCCTGAAGAAATGCATGACTTCCTCCTGTTTGAGTAATGTTTGATAAACACTACAGTGACCAGCTGTGTTGGAAAATGACTGAGCCTTTTCAAAACAGAAACAACAATAGCCTGGAGCTGAGAGCCACATACAGAGTAGTGATTTATGTGTTTGTGTTTAGTGATGTCCGCTGTCTGCCGCCACATGACCAGGTGGTCGCCTTAAACCGCCTATCCGGGTTCAGTAAGGTCTCCAGACCGCTTCAGCAGCTGCCATGTTTGTTGGGGAGCTACTGTGGCTTGACTCCACCTCTACACCCACTCCTTCATTCTGATTGGGCAAAGAGGGGTGCAGGAGGGAGGAGCCTGTGGAGGCGTTGGTGCACGGCGGCAGGATCCTCGGCGGGGAGCGCGAGTCACTGCTGCCGCCTCCCCCGGCCATCATCGAGAACTGGTATGCGCCGGCGGCGGTGGAGTAGTACAGGTGATACGGCGAGGAGGTGGACTGGAAGGGCCCATTTTGAGCCTGGTGGGGGGTGTTCGCCGGGTAGGGCGGAGGCAGGTAGGTGTGATACCTCCCCGCTGGAGTGGTCGCCATGGCGAGGCCGAGGGCGCCGTTAGAGACGGCGTTGTGAGAGGGGGTGTAGGTGAAGGCGGCCGCTGTGGGAGGGTAGTGGACCCGGGGGTCGGAGAAACGAGACTCAGGCAAGGAGGGAAGGGAGGTGAAAGGTCGTTCTAAGGTCATCCTGGGGTCGCCAAAGGCCGTGAGGTCGGGACCTGAGAGAGGGCAAAGGTCAGAGGTTACAACCTACTTATTTACTCACTTCTCTCTGGTTGCTCTCTGTGCACATGCTTGTGTGTGTTACCTGTGAGTCGTGACGTCAAGTCACTGAGCGACGACCGACCAGGCGAAAGGGGATTGGCTGTGTGGACACTGGGCGTGGTTATCTGGCCAAGGTAGGGATAGGATTGGTCGTAGGACCAAGATGGAGACGCCTGCATCTGTCTGGAGTCTAAGAGAGAGATTGAAACCTTCAGAGCTGTGAAGCAAAGGGTTTTGATCAGAGTGATGCTGCCTTCAATTGGAATCAGACGGACCCAACTCAACACGCATGATGATATGTTGCTATGGTGATGTCGTATAGTTTACAAGTAATTATCAACAATAATTCATTTTATGTAATTATTCTAATAAGGCATGTCGCTATAAAATGCAGCTTTCTCTTAATAATCTATTCCAAACTTTAACAACTTCCTCCTTGTGTGAGGGAGCTCATAACATCCGCTTGTGAGTTCTGTGGTGGAGGACGGCATGAAGTCAAAATATTTTAACTTTGGATGGCAATCGTCTACTGATGCTGATCCAGTATTATCTGTCGGCCTCACCTAATTTTGTCCATGAAAATGATATCCGGTTTGCTTGCTTCCATGTGAATGCAGCACAAGTTGAATGTTGAGAATGAGAAGTTGAGCCACACAATGCTGTTAACACACTTACTTCAGAAATCTACTATTACACCTTCTATACAGTTCTATACACTTCTATAAGGTTGGGGGACTCACAAGAGACAGATTCAAATATACAATATTGAACATGATGTGTGCAAAATAAAGGCTGATTTAAATGAACTGGAGTCTTGAGACAAAATCTGTTGCTAGTGAAAGGAACAGAAGAGAGAGATGGAGAAGAGGAAGCAATTAACTTAGCATGGGGGTGGACGGATGAAGGGGAGGGCTGTGTGTGTGTGTTATTTCATTCAATCCAGTCTTTTTCCCCACAGTCTAATAAATGGCTCTGATCACCCACAGACTTGCAGACAAGAGTGTGTACATGTATGGGTTTGTGTGTGTGTGTGTGTGTGTGTGTGCAGCCAGACGAGGAGGCAAATTGTACACAGCAGCCAGACGTCAATGAAGGCTTTTCAAGTCCAGCCAAGAGCTCTCCCAAGCATTGACGTGTGTGTGTGTGTGTGTGTGTGTGTGTGTGTGTGTGTGTGTGTGTGTATCTGGGTGGTGGTGAAGCCCAGGCCCTGTGCCAAGCCACCTCCTTTCCTTGCTTCTCTCCCCAGGCAGAGTACTCTACAGCAAAAGTCACAATCCGCTGGCTGTTTAAAATAGAACAGATAGAAAGACATGTCTGTGGTGTTTTTAGGTTGGCTAATTGAATGACAGAAATGATGAGACGGACCCATTTATCTTGTTCAAATGAGACCTGGTGCAGCGAGTGTCATCAGTTTCTGATATGATGGGTATGATTCAGTTTGACTGATTACACTTTGCTTTTAGAATGGATCAATACTTAAATAAAATAACATCATACAGTAGTAATTTGTTGTTATTCAATGGTTTCTGTAGGGTGTTTTAGACCTCACCAATAAACCAGAGGCAAAACACAACAAAATCAGGCAACTTTTTGTGGCATGCAAATCTTCTAATCTGGAAAAACACAACGTTTGCAGGGGCAGTGGTTCTTTGTGAAAACCGTGTATCTCCGATCTGACAATTTCCATTTTTCAAATATACTCAAGAATTAAGTGCTTCTTTATGGTTTGAGGATATCCATCCATGAGGGGGGCTGAAGCCGATCCCAACATTGGGAGAAGACAGGGTACACCATGGACAGGTCGGCAGACGATCACAGGGCTGACGCGGAGAGACAGAAAACCATTCACACTCATATTCACACCTACCAGCAATTTAGAGTTGGGTTGAGAATATTTATTTTACTTACTGAGCTGGATAAACAATAAAATGTTATCTGAAAAAATCTTTGTCACAAAGGAGCACATGTAGGCCTATATATTCCCTCAACCCTATGTTTCCTCTGTTTTATGTTCCCTCAAACCTATGTTCCCTCAACCCTATGTTCCCTCAGTCCTAGGGTTGAGACCCTATGTTCCCTCAGTCGTTCCCTCAACCCTATGTTCCCTCAGTCCTGTGTTCCCTCAGTCGTTCCCTCAGCCCTATGTTCCCTCAACCCTATGTTCCCTCAACCCCATGTTCCCTCAGTCTTATGTTCCCTCAACTCTATGTTCCCTCAGTCCTATGTTCCCTCAGCCCTATGTTCCCTCAACCCTATGTTCCCTCAACCCTATGTTCCCTCAGTCCTATGTTCCCTCAGTCATTCCCTCAGCCCTATGTTCACTGCAGCAAAGTTCACACAGGCTTTCCTTTCATGTAACTAGCTAGTCGGCATCACTGTGGATGGGCACTGTTTAACCTGGTGCGACCACACAGGAGCCAGCCTCAGATGATGTATGGGGATGAAGGGCATTTAACTACAAGCAGTCCACTACTAACATTCTCTAACACGCTTGGCATGGATCCAGCTGCCTGTTAGGTTTTAAGTTGTTGACGTAATTAAAGAACCACCGTGCTGAGTAAAGTTCATCCACTTCACCACACACACACACACACACACACACACACACACACACACACACAC